TAATTTATATTGCCTCTGAAAACTCTTAACATAGCACTGGTATATGTCTTCTATTTACTCATCAGCAGGGAAGTGGAAAGAGGAGCTGCAGGTTAGAAAGGAAATGAAAACAAAAGAGAAATACTGCCTTTCTTGCTCAAATATGCAAACAATTCTGGCTCACAGAGAGGAACAACTTGAACAATGTGTGTGAACACGTTAGCTCATTCCAGAAGTGAACTCAGCTTATGTGACAAATAACACATTGGGGCATCTGATGCATTGACTACACAAAATGTAATAGGATCAAATTTCACTAAAACGAATGTATTGATCCCTAAACCTGTTGCTTCTTGACCATGTATTACTGCTCTTAACATGTTCCTTCAGAAGCAATTAAGCAGTGACAGCACCAGGAAAGAGGAAGAGACTTGTTCTTTGCCTCTGGGCAGTTTTATGTATTGGTCTATACAAAGAGGGCAACCAAATGCGGGATGCATCTACACTATAGAAATAATATAATTTGACACCACTTTAACTGCCATGGCTTCATTCTACGGAATCCTGGGATTTATAGTTTTGTGATGCATCAGCACACTAGCACCAGCCTTTAGCAGTGAAGACTTGGTAAAACTACAAATTCAAGGATTCCCTAGGGTAGAGCTACAGCACTTAAAGTGATGTCAAAGTGGTGTAAACACATCCTAGGACAGGGCAGCCATAGCAATTATCTGATGGGCTCTCACAAAGAGAGTTCAATGGGAAAATTTAAGCAAAGGATGTACACTACTTTAAGGGAGTGATCCCCAAACTGCATGCTGCGAAAGAGATCAGTGTATTCCTGGCAAGGCTGCCTCTACTTTTTGGGCCTACTATTAGGCAACAGATTTGGGGTGTCATGAAAGAACAGCAGATGAAGTGTTATATAATTAGTATTATATTTTTCTTCCAAGAAGAGTGAGAGGCCCTTATGGGATGTGTCTGCTTCATGTGCCAGAATAACTTGGCTAGTTTTATATATTATTCACCGTAATGGGTAGATGTGTGGAATTTTTTTATATGTTGCCTCGGGCAGCAAAATATCAGGGCATGCCTTGATCCTCGTTACACTACTCTACATCTCTTTAAGTTAAAAGATGTCTATCTGCCAGTTTCTGGGTGGAGACAGCATCCTGATACAGTAAACAGTAAGAACATGCTTCTCTAACATAGTCCATTCTACAACATACAGATACAGAAAAATCCATGAATACCACTATTGCCCAGAAAGCATTGGCCAAAGGAGAGTGCAAGTGGAACAAAACATTACTAAGCTAGCCATCCATTTTTACTAAGCTAGCCATCCATTTTTACAAGAGTTGCAGGTAAATTGAAGAGGAATTATGTTTGTCAACTATTCCTGAAAAGGGATCCTTTGATTTGTCCACACAACTATCCTGTGTGGTGAGGCACTTGCATTGTGTAGTATAGTATCCTTGGACCAGGGACTCACTCCACCCATCCAGTCTGTTAATTCGGTCCTCCTGGAGAGGAAGGACTATAAGAGGCTTCCTGTTCAATCTTAGCCTTGTTTAAGTAGCAACAAGGTCTTTCTGAATTTGAATGTCTTCATGTATCCTCAACATCTGTTGTTAACTTGTTACTCAACCATACCTCTTCTTCCCCATGATACTACAGTCAAGGGGTTGGCAACCTACGGCCCACGGGCCGCACCCGGCCCTTCGAGGCCTGCTGACCGGCCCCTGCCTGGTCCTGCCGCCACCACCGCCTTTTGTGGCCGTGGGGGTCCTCCGGGGCACCATTTTGTCTTCCAAAATGGCACCTGGAGTCTTGCACGACCTTTCCCATCCTTCCCTGCAGCAGGAAAGGTCACACAAGACTCCAGGTGCCATTTTGGAACACAAAATGGCACCTCGGAGGACCCCCGCGGCCGTGCTCAGCCTCTCCAAGGCCCAACATGGTCGAGGGAGTCCTCCTGGAGGACCCCCGCAGTAGCCCTGGGCCTCTTCGAGGCCCAGCGCAGTCAAGCGAGACCTCCTGGGGGGGGGCCTACAACTGCACTGGGCCTCTCTGAGGCCCGGCACAGTCGAGGGAGCCCTCCTGGGAGCACACCATGTTGTGGGGCATCGGGGGACAGGGAGACCAGCCCCACCCCCAAAAAGATTGCCGACCCCTGCTATAGTCCAATGACATAGAGGACAGGACAGATTTACTAGTCTCAGTGTATGGGACTGTATTGCATCTTCACAAATTGTCTTCTATTTTGTTTAGGAATAATGTGTGATCATATGGAAGCTCTGTCTGCAATCTTTGATATGTTGACACACATGCAACTTACCTTGGTATCACTGGTTGAAGGTAACAGAAAAGTGATAACTGTGACTGTTACATGACCTTTTGCTCCATGAGATGCTATTTGTTTTGGACCTCTTCCTTGATGCTTTCTTAGAAATATTTTTGGGTAAAATCCAGTTAAGTTTTTCTGTCAATGGAACTGCTTCTGTTGCTGGGAATGGTAAGGACAAAATGCCCCTTAATCCCTCCATACCCTCAAATCTTTGCTTCATGATATTCCAGAGCGCTTTGCCAGATGCTGGAAGGGGACTTTAGGGGGAGGAAGAATCAAAGGAGATTATCCCACTGCTGAAATAACCCGGCTTTCCTCTTCCGAATTGAAGTTTAATTCAAAGGCAGCTGGGTCCTATCACAAGGATTTTGCTGCTGAAGCCATCTGGTAAGTCCAATCCAGCTGCAGCCCGGGTCCTCAATGCTCTTCACCAGCCTTACTTTGAAACCGGAGCCTTCCAACTTCTAAAAATGGCAGCCAAAGCATGCTGGGGCTTGGGCTGCAGCTGGGCTGGACCCACCCAGTTGCTTCGGCAGCAAAATCCTTGTGATAGGACCCAGCTGCCTGCTGAATTAGACTTCAATTTGGAAGAGGTAAGCTAGGTTATTTCAGTGGTGGGATCATCTCCAAAGAGCAAGCAAATCCTGTTGTGCAAACAGATTTCCATGTTTGTGACATTGGCATTTTCCCTTCATGTAGTTGCTCTTCTCTTTCATGCCTAAAAACTTGTCTCTTACCAAGATATGTTTATCTTCTTCATGCTGGGAGTCAATATCTAAGGTGTCTGCTATGGCTGGTTATGGTTATGCATTGATTGTGATACACAGTCCTTGTCTTGAATGACAATATTGTACAATTGAACACATGCGTGAATGTACAGTCCCATGTGGATGCACATCCAGGCTGCATTCAACGTGAATCCAATGAGCATCTATGTATGTTCAACATCCACAACTCTGCAACCTGGAATGGAATGTAGATATTCTGCATTGGATAGAAATACCGGTGTGCTTCCAGAGGTGATTTATGCATATATAAATCACTCACAGGATTCCAGCCATTATAATCTGAATGACTGGTATTCAGTATTGCAATTACAGGTTTGTAACTTACAGTCACAGATTCGTAACTGGCCTGTATTCAGTAAAGAGTCTTACTGGAAACCAATGTAAATGCACCTCCAGCTCACCTTTGGAGCCAGTTGGCAGAACAGATGAAGGAAGTCTGTTCAGCTTCTGATCAGGGTGCAAAGAAGGAGGGTTTTTCCGGTCCCCTCCTGCCAGTGAATGAGCCTGCAACCATCAAAAATAGGACCTCTGTCACAAGTCCTTGTTGCAAGCTTTCAGAAAGGAGGGTGGAAATGTCATCCTCCTCATTGCACTCCAATTGAAAGTTGAATGGACAAACCTCTTTTACCCAATCAGGGGCCAGGAGACATTGCTCAATTATGGAGAGAATTATGCATGAGCTAAGATTCAAGTGAGGGGAAAAACAATATTGTTGGTGTGTATGTGTCAACATTACCAGTCAGGAGAGATAGCTCAGAAACAGTATTCTCTCCCAATTCCAAATCATGAATTGTTCACTCAACACTAGTACAAATAGAAGTGAAACTTCACATCAGGGAGTGGGAAACCTCCACACACACCCTCGCTGGGCTGGATTTGGCTTGCAGAGGTTCTTTGTCTACCCTGCACCTTCTTTTGCAGTTATCCACTCATAGATAAAAGGTTATTTAAAGCTAGGAAACTGAGATCTAGGTAACAGTTCTTGTTTAGAGCCTAGGATGCTATCACATTGAGACTGAATTCTGATTTGAAGCATGCAGAAACTGTTACAGCAGGACTTTCTCCTGAGAAGACAAGCATAGAATTGAGCTGTTTTGTACAGTTGGTGGGAAGATATCCACAGTGGTAAGAATTCCCATCTAGGAATGAGAAACGGCAGAATTGGAAGCTTCACAAATAAAGCTATTTTTAATTTGTTGCTTTGCAGATTGATATAACACCCTTCATCTTAAGACTGCAAAGAAACAACAACAAAAAGGTCTTTAAAGAGGTACTGAGAACCAGATGTTATGCTACAAAATGCTACAGCTTGCAAACAAATACGCAACATAGAATGAACATTCTACATTTGTTAAAATGCTTTCTAAAATCTCTCAGATAGTTTGCATTGACTGCTGTGTAATGAACAGCCATGACAGAATTAATTTGCTTTCTGTGTAAAGGTAGCGTCAACATTTAGGGTCTGATTCAATCCAAGTACTCCAGAATATAATTAATTTGCATTGAGAAAAACTCTAGCATCTGGAAAGATCCATGACTGAAATCCTCATTCCCTGCAGAGACTTCTCAGACAATCCATGTGGACATGAGTGAGTGGAAAAGGAATGGGTCTGTCAGATCCTATGTGGATCTCTCGGCTGGACCTGATACATACCGTACTTTTCTTCCAATGGTACTTTACCAGTGTTGTCTCTATCATTAGGCAGAATGAGGCAGTCACCCAAGTGTCAAGTTGTTGTTGCTGCTGTGTGCCTTCAAGTTATGGTGACCCTAAGGTGAATCTCTCACAGTGTTTTCTTGGCAAGTTTCTTCAGAGAGGGTTTGCCATTGACATTCTCTGAGGCTGAGAAAGTGTGACTTGCCCAAAGTAACTCAGTGGGTTTCCATGCCCAGGCAGGGATTCGAACCCTAGTCTCCAGAGTCATAGTCCAATGTTTAAACTACTTCACCATGCTGCCTAAGTGACAGGAGACAGCAGCAATGTGCTGGAGGAGATCATTTGTGTGCCACGATAGTGTCCTTTAAGTCTATTGACTTATGCCTTCAGGTGTGTTGGAAAACAGTGTCTCATCACCAGCAATGAAATAAAATTCAACTGCTGGACAAATCAACTTTTCTACATGGATTGGAAGTTGGTTCCATCTTGTCTTCCTACACCCCAAGCATCAAAATCTTGGGTTGGTCCTGGAAAAAAACTAACAGCTGAAAGCCACACTTCCACCTCCACAGGGACTCCTATTTGCTGTCTCTGTTTTTTCTGATCTCCTCTTTCCCTGTTTCCTTCCCTTAGTAAACATAAACCTTCCAAGCAGAAAGTTTTCACTCTTTCCGTTCAGGGTGTATCAGGTAAGGAGCTTGTAGACAAAAGGAGCAATTCCAAGGTTTAACTAAGCAGGAAATCCAATCTGACAGCACTGTACTCTCTGACAACAGTAAACACAACTCATGATATATATGATTCCACAACCCACTCTGTTTTATCAGCAGAATATTGATTGTCACATTTTACAACAACAAAAAGAGGTCATTTATTGATAAAAGTAATGCAGATACCACCACCAACTGGTGAGACAGAGGAACAGAATAAAAAGTAAGAGAACCCTATCAATGACCCCTACTTCTCCAGTAAGATAGGATGAATGGATGTGTGATCAGTTCCTTCCTCATACAGTGAAAATAATAAGCACATTCATCAGGCAAACATTTATAGGATAAGAATCCATACTGTTGTGATGAAATTTGCTGCAGATTTACAAGCAAAAAAAGAAGAGAGACAGATAAAGTGCCAGTAGCTCTTCAGACAGAAGAAACCACACAGCTTTAGACACAACTTTCCAGATGTTAATGTTGGGACTATATATACTTTGTGCATGCATATACATTTGTGTAGTCACACAAAGAATATTCAAAGTAGAGCTTTGAATGTTACTTTATAAAGGCCATTGTGGTTGTTTATTGTTGTGTGCCATCAAGTTGTTCCCAACTTATGGCAACCCTAAGGCAACACTATCATGGGGTTTTCTTGGTCAGATTTGTTTAGAGAAGGTTTGCCATTGCCTTCTCCTGAGGCTGAGAGCATGTGACTTGCACATGGTTACCCAGTGGGTTTCATGGCTGAGCTGGGAATCAAACCTGTTCTCCAGAGTCGCAGCCAACACTCAGACCACTATGCCTCACTGGCTCTCACACTGGCCATTAGTAACTGTTGTAGTGCCAAAGCCTCAACAAGTAGTTAGTTACCATTATGTTACAGGTTTTTTTAAAAAAAAAATTATAACTCTGCCACACTGCTTCTGAAAACTAACTTTGATAGGTTTTGAAAGTGTTTTTTTTTAAATACTCTATGAATACTGCAAGATGTTGGCCTGTGATACAAGACTCCATGTTTTCCTGTTCACCCCATTATCACCTCTACACCTACAACAGAACAGAAGGCAACACATGAGTCATTCCCCGGACCATGGAATATTCCTTTGCCATCATTTAATGAGGCCACAACTATGTAACTATAAAAGTAACTACAACTAAAACATTATAGCTACTGTACACCACAAGAAAGGTTATTCTACCTTTTGGACTCTAGAGAATGGTGTGAATAAAACCATCCATAAAGATGATAGTATAATAGGAACACTACAAAGAGGACTATATAGTCCTGTGTTGGGAAACCTGTGGCACGTATGCCCTCTCTGGCACATGAATGAGGACACACAGTGGCCACAGAAACTTGGGGTGGGGAGTGCACTTGTCATGGCTTGGTTTGCCTTGGGAGAACTGGGTCATGGCAAGGAGGGCCAGGGAAGCATGCACAACTGGCCCAGCTCCTTGCCACAGCCTGGTTCTCCCATGGAAAACAGCTGTGACAAGGAGGGACTGTGCATGGGCCTTCTGAGCAGAAGTCCCACCCCTTCTGGATAGAAACACTGTCCCTTCCAGCTGGAAGGTCCGCTACTTCCAGCCAGAAGGCCTTCACTTTGCTATGGGATTTTGGGAACTGCAGTTTTGTGAGGTGTAATGAGGCTATCCATGGGGTTTTCTTGGCAAGGTTTCTTCAGAGGAAGTTTACCATTGTCTTCCTCTGAGGCTGAGAGAGAATGGCTTGCCCAAGAGACTAGGACCCGAAACAATGGATGCAAGCTGCAAGAAAAGAGATTCCACCTCAACATTAGGAGGAACTTCCTGACAGTAAGGGCGGTTCGACAGTGGAACACTCCCTCGGAGAGTAGTGGAGTCTCCTTCCTTGGAGGTCTTTAAGCAGAGGCTGGATGGCCATCTGTCAGGGATACTTTGATTGGGAGTTCCTGCATGGCAGGGGGTTGGACTGGATGGCCCTTGTGGTCTCTTCCAACTCTATGATTCTATGATTCTATGATTCTATGATTCTAAGTCTCCTAGTGGGTTTCATGGCTGATCTGGGATTCCAGCCCTGGTGTCCAGAGTTGCAAGCTGAAACGCCTGGCTTTCTTTGTGCTTGTGCCGTGCCTTCTGTGCTTTATTGTGCTTTGTTGTTGCTGCTGCTGTCGTTGTGTGCCTCCAAGTCATTTCCAATTATGGGCCCAGAGCACCCTCCCTCCCTTCCGGACACCAGCTCCTGGTGATCCTAAGGTAAGACAATCATGGGATAAGTTTAATCAAAGAGAGATTTCCATAGCCATTCCCTGAGGCTGAGAGAGTGTGACTTGCGTGTGTGGTGCCTTCAAGTCATTTCCAACTAATGGTGACCCTAAGGTGAAACTATAATGGAGTTTTCTTGGCAAGTTTGGTCAAAGAGGGGGTTGCTATTGCTAGCCTGAGGCTGAGATTGTGCCTTGGGGTTATCCCTGGAGGTCCCTCCTCTGGAAGGTGGAAGTCGCACCCCCAGAAAGTGGAAGTCCCACCCCTGCCTCAAAAACCCCACTTCCAAAAGTCCCACTCCCCAAAAGTCCCACCCCCAGCACCCCGTGGACTCCGGTGCAGGAATGCCACTGTGTTTGGCACTCAGTTTCTAAAAGGTTCACCATCACTGGAATAGTCCCTGTTCTGTGATTTTTTTTATTATTTCTGTTGATAGTCATACAAAGGCCTTTGCAGACTGCCAGAAATAGTGCAAATTGAATCCATTTTAAGGGTTAAGGTTAGTGCTAGGGAGTCATGGGAATTGTTGTTGTTTTTCTGAGACATTGAGCCTTCTCTGTCAGAGAGCTCTGGTGCCACAATAAAATACAGTTCCCATGATTCCCTAACCCTAGCCCTAACCCTAAAAGTGGACTCAATTTGCACTATTTCTGGCAGTCTGCAAAGGCCCCAAGATGGCTTCAATGCTCATTTCCATGACACGGCTTGGGACATGCCATAAGAACATAACCCAGCTCTATATTATTATGGTAGTCAGGAGAACAAAAGTGAAAACTACAGGGTTAACCTAAAATATTCTGGAGGTGAAGCAAAAAACATCACCCTCACTGCTTAGCTCCAATAATGGTCAGCCAAGGTATTTGGGCAATTCAGGTGGAAAATTGAACAAGCATTTTTCTTCTTTCCATGCAGTAAAAGTATAACTGTAATAAATAAACATCTTAACACTCCTGATCATGTGTGGCCACACGCAAACTGGTGAGACGAAGCTGAAGTTACAGAACTTTGCCTGACAATGCTGGGAAGGCAAGTGTTACATGGCCATATTGAAGAGCCAGCATGGTGTAGTGGTTTGAGTCTTGGACTATGACTATGAAGGTCAGGGTTTGATTCCCTGCATGAGCAGAAAAACCCACTGGGTGACCTTGAGCAAGTTACAATCTCTCGGCCTCAGAGGATAGCAATGGCAAACTCCCTTTGAAGAAATGTGCCCAGAAAACCCTATGATAGGATCACCCTTAGGGTTGCCATAAGTTAAAAAAAAGACTGAAGCACACAAGAACAATAATCTCATGTTCACCTTGTGTTTTGGCTTCCTGGTTGCTTAAGAGTTAAAAGAAGATGTGCCTTCCATCAGCCCTCAGTTCTTTTAACTGAGGAGGAGCTTCAGAGAGGGTTAGATTTCTTCATTCTCTTTCACATACCATCTGCCCGTTGTTTATTTGATCTCCATCTGTTACCTGAGATTTGGCTTCTGCTTGTTTCTAATGGCATATTAATAAACATAGACATACTGTGCATCCACAAACAACAAAATGTACATTTAGTATTCAGGTATTTTTGTACATTTCTTCACTGACAAACCATTTGTCAGGCAGTTCCTCACACTCAAGTTTTTTTCCCCTTTTGATTGCCATAATTCATAACTGGTGGTGATCCTCTCTTTAATTCATTACTCCTTTTCATCCACAGTGATGTAAAGGATATGTATGCTTAGTGCAACTAGAAGAGTTCATTCATCTGCCCATGTTTCTTATGCAATCAAAGTGCATGTGAAACAACTCTCCCTCCCTTCTCTTATTTCTGACTCAACAGTTCAAATTGTAAAGCTTAACTAAGCTTTAACAAATGAGATTCAGCCAATTGCAAGGCAATCATTCAGATTTTAATTTAAATGCAAACAACTTTGCAAAGAGGTGGTATCTATTGAACAGCTGGCCTGAAGTAGGAACCCAGTCAAAGAAAAGGAGGGCACTATGCAGCCCCTGTTTATTTTCCTCATTCTCTGACTGCCTCTCTACCGCAAACAAGAGTAAACTTGAAAACCTTGTCAAGACATTATCTCACTGCCAGACCTTTAAGGCTCATCAGATACCATGACATATCAACAGATAATTTCATTGGTGGTGGTGCTTGTGTGCCTTCAAGTCATTTCCAGTTTATGGTGACCCAGAAAGCCAACATGGTGTAGTGGTTTGAGTGTTGGACTATGACTCTGGAGAACAGGGCTCAGTTCCCACTTGGCCATGAAACCATAGGCAAGTCACATGCTCTCAGCCCACTCAAACCACTAGTCCATCCTGGCTCTCAAATCTCATTGGTCCTGCTCAGAAAAAAGGTTCTA